AGTCAGTAACCAACTTTTCAAAAATACAGTCCAATTCCTTTAATGTATTAACTCAAGTAGTACAGCACTTTTTTTTTTTTGGGGGGGGGGCTTTTGAGTCACACCCTGCGGTACTCTGGGCTTATACCTAGGTCAGTGCTCCTGGTGGGGCTTTGGAAACATGTGGGGTATAAAACCCGAGACGGCAGCTTTCTTTTTTTTAATGGGCTATCACTTTTCAATGAGAAAAAGCTCTTCTGCAGACTATGGAATCTAAATCCAGCTACTTGGGCAAACAGCTTCTCCACACCACAGATCTCAAATATCTAAAAGGCACACTTAGTTCAACAGCACTGTTGATTAAGGGACTAACCTTAACGATATTCTGTTGGATTCTTTCAAGCCCACAAGATTGTTCCCCTGCAGGCTGGGTCAAGGAGAAGCAGGGGAGGGAGGATTTGCATGATTTGACAGATAATCACTAGATAATCTAGAAACCTATTTTAAGCCCTCAGAGGGTTAGAAACTGATCTTGTATCTTTTAATTCTTCCAAAAGTCTTGAGCAGAACTCTCTTCAAGTTCCATCAAAATACAAAAAAAAAAAAAAAGAAAGAAAGAAAAAGAAAAAGAAAGACACAATGGGGGCTGGAGAGATAGCACAGTGGGTAGGGCATTTGCCTTGCACACGGCCAACCCAGGTTCAATAATCCCCAGCATCCCATATGGTCCCCCAAGCACCACCAGGAGTAATTCCTGAGTGCAGAGCCAGGAGTATCCCCTGTGCGTTGCCGGGTGTGACCCAAACAGGAAAAAAAAAAAAAAAAAAAAAGAAAGACACAATGGCAGGGATGAGGTTGTAAGGGGGATAAACTAACCCTACGAACCCGATGAAAGGGCTCAGTTCATGATTGATGATGAGCTGGGAGTAACACCCCTGTGGAACATGATATGGTCCCTCCAACCAAAATTTAAAATAAAAGATACAGTAACAATAAAGAGATGGGGGACAGGAATCAGAAGATGGTTCCAGATCCTTCTTTCAAGCAGTCGGATTATTTTTTTTTTGCAAGCCATGTGGATCCTGGTGTATTCCCCCGGTAACAGTAGAACCCTGGTCTCGCCTCTATTTCACAAAATTACTGAGGCTCTACTTGAAACCACAGGCACTGAATTAGCAAGCGACTCCCCCTCACCCCATCCCACCCGGAGCTTCTAGAACCCTCACCTGTGTTCCATGCCAACCACTCAGGGGCACCTCGGCTAAAGGGCCGACTACTTACTCAGAACTCAGATTGCTTTCTTCCTCTAATTGGCTGCCTGAGCTCTAGCCTATGTTTGAAATTTGTTTTAAGACAAAGGTCTCGCTTGGTCACATGAAAATGCCTTAAATAGACAATGCTATAATTAGCTCCAGCTGAAGCTGGTCTTCCAAAGTCACTGCCATTGTCATGCTGTCATCGTCTTCTCTTTCCTTAACAAACCCTTCCCTTTGGTCCCAGGATGCTTCGTGCTCACATGCTCCTTCCAAAGTAAATTCCCTTGGCCGTCTGCCATCCACCTCTCTGTCCACTTCCATTTTAAGTCATTTTCTCCTCAACGCTCTCAATTTCTTCAGAAACAAAGGCAGACACTGAAGACTAGTTCTTTTCAAATGAGAGCTTGCCCCCAATTCACCCAGCAACCCCCAGCTGAGTCCTGCTCATGCCCCTGCGTCGCCAGACGGGCCCACTGGGGTGGACAAAACAGTGGCCCAAGTTTGATGCCCACCAAAAGCTCTTTCCCTGCAACTGGCAACGGATGCCTCGGCCCACCCCAGTTCCCCCTGGATCTGCAAAAATGCAGCCCTGACTGTTCAGTAGGTAGTTAATATTAATACTGTTTCAACAGGAAGTGGCACCGAGCTCAAGATAGGGTGTTTTCCGGCTGCCCAGCTATTTACAAAAAGCCAGGCCTGAAAACTGAAAACGCCCGGCAGGACAATTTGTGCTTCTCTTCCAAGGTAAGAAATAGGGGCCAGAGAGATATTTGATCCCGTGAGCCCTGTAAGGTCCCCTGAGCCCCGTCAGGAGTGATCCCTGAGCACACAGCTAGGAGGAAAGCCTCAGCATCGAGGGGTGTGGCCAAAAACAGAAAGGAGAGGGGAGGAAAGAAGTGACTGTCTCCGCTCTCTCTCAAAACTGCAGATATAATTGATCTAATTTTAACTTCGCCCTGAGTGTAGAATGACCAGTGAAGAAAACAAAAAAGAAAGAAAAGAAACAGAGCCCACAGTAAGCCTACACACGGGCACGGCACGGGCACGGTCCTCCCGTTATTCATCGATTTTGCTCGAGCGGGCCCAGTAACGTCTCCATCGTGAGGCTTGTTGTTGTTACTGTGTTTGGCATACACACAAAACACAAAATTGTTTCAGTGCTTGTCCTGCAGATCCAGGTTCTACCCCCTAGAACTCTGCGAGTGCAGAGCCAGAAGTCAGCCCTGAGCATCACCAGATGTGGTCCCAAACCACAAAAAATAAACAAACAAACAAACAAAAAAAGCTTCAAATATATTTTCTTCCATCTCATAAAACTTACCACAGAATTACAGATTTTAGAGCCCATAGGTCACTCCCCAACCCCCAACCTCCAAGAACCTGGCTCCCCACTTTCATCAAAAACGTTTTCTTTCCACACTGCAATGAAAAATGATCACTTTCTCCTTATTTGCCCTTAGACACTTACTGCCAAAAAAATGGATTAGGCTCAATATCAGATGTGCTCTGACCCACGTGAATACTGGAACTTGAGCCGAGGCACCTGGTGTCCCCCATGAATACACCCTGGGGTGCCAGGCAGTCCACCAAGTGGAGTAAGGTCCCTTTAAAGCAGGAGGGTCCGGCTGCCAAAGGGTCCTTCTTCCCAAAGTGCCTGAAGTTAGCCATATTCCCTCTAAATGACTTATTCATCAGATATGTGTTGCGGAAAGAGGCAGCTCACGCCATCTTGTGTGAAACTCGCTTAAAAATGTTTTCTCCTAACTTATCTCGAGATGGACTTAACCCAGTGAACTGGTCTCTCTGGTGGAGTATTATCCCTGGTCTTCCCAAGTACGTTAAATCCCTTGGATGCTGATCTCAGATAGGGGGGACTTGAGTTCAAAAACACCTTCTGGACACCCACCCAGCAACACCATCAGTGTGATTCTCTGACGTTTTGACCAGGTGGTTTTTTTTTGCATGTGTGGTGAGAAGCCAGGTCACTGCCCTGAACCAGCAAAGGGAGGCAAGTGGAAGTGAAACACGTTACTGGGTAAAGGTCTCTGGGAGGCAATAGAGAGAGAGAGAGAGAGTGTGTGTGTGTGTGTGTGTGTGTGTTTAACAGGTTACTAGGTAAAGGTCTCTGGGAGGCAATAGAGAGAGAGTGTGTGTGTGTGTGTGTGTGTGTGTGTGTATGTGTGTGTTTAACAGGTTACTGGGTAAAGGTCTCTGGGAGGCAATAGAGAGTGTGTGTGTGTATGTGTGTGTGTGTGTGTGTGTGTTTAACAGGTTACTGGGTAAAGGTCTCTGGGAGGCAATAAAGTGTGTGTGTGTGTGTGTGTGTGTGTGTGTGTGTTTAACAGGTTACTGGGTAAAGGTCTCTGGGAGGCAATAGAGTGTGTGTGTGTGTGTGTGTGTGTGTGTGTTTAACAGGTTACTGGGTAAAGGTCTCTGGGAGGCAACAGAGTGTGTGTGTGTGTGTGTGTGTGTGTGTGTTTAACAGGTTACTGGGTAAAGGTCTCTGGGAGGCAATAGAGAGTGTGTGTGTGTGTGTGTTTAACAGGTTACTGGTTAAAGGTCTCTGGGAGGCAATAGAGAGTGTGTGTGTGTATGTGTGTGTGTGTGTGTGTGTGTTTAACAAGTTACTGGGTAAAGGTCTCTGGGAGGCAACAGAGTGTGTGTGTGTGTGTGTGTGTGTGTTTAACAGGTTACTGGGTAAAGGTCTCTGGGAGGCAATAGAGTGTGTGTGTGTGTGTGTGTGTGTGTGTGTGTGTAAGTAACCGGTTATTGGGTAAATGTTCCTGGGAGGCAATAGAGTGTGTGTGTGTGTGTGTGTGTGTAAGTAACAGGTTACTGGGCAAAGGTCTCTGGGAGGCAACAGAGTGTGTGTGTGTGTGTGTATTTAACAGATTACTGGGTAAAGGCCGCTGCGAGGCAAGAGAGTGAGTGAGTGTGTGTGGTGTGTGTGTATGCATGTCCATCTGGGATGCAAACGCCGGGCTGTGTGTGTTGTGTGTGGTTCACTCAGGAGGCAAATGGCACGGAGTGCATATGTCGCAAATACCCAGGGTGCACGAGTGTGACAGTTTGCGTGTGTCTCAGAGGCCTCCCTTGCCACCCCCGTGCTTAGGGCCAAGTGCCCACAGGGGGACAATCGAAACCAGTCGGCCTCCAAGCGCAAGACATTCTTTTTTTTTTTTTTTTTTGCTTTTTAGCAACAAAGCCACCGGCGGTCCCCCTTCCCTGCACTCTAACCCTTCAACTCTGCCCTCGGGGACCCCCTTCCTTCCCGGCGGAGGCTGAGAACTGCGAGTCCCGGCCGCCCACCACAGCTTCTTCCCTGCAAGCCCAGTTCCTGATTTTCCGACTCCCACATGCTCGGGGAGGAACCAGCTCGGGCCCGCGGCTGGCTGGCGAGGAGGGGAGAGGCGGTGGCGCTGGCGGCGGGGCCGGGGGAGCCCCACACGGGCGTCCAGCGCGGCTCGGGGTCAGGAAGTGACCACGGCTGGACTCCTGAACCTGCCCTGCCACTCTGGAGGCAGGAAGGGCCTTTGCAATGCTCCTTTGCGGAGCTTTCTCCCCTCGCCCCCCAACCCGGTGCACAGACGGGGCGTCCAGCTGTGACGCCTGGGGGTGGGGTGGGAATGGGTCGCGTCGCCCCCAACCGCCAAGTCCGAGGGCCCGTCCACACCTGTCACCCGGCGGCCCGCACCTGTCACCGGGCGCCCTCCCCCCCCCCACCCCCGGGCGCCCGTCCCCGCCCGCGCCGCGCGCGTCGCCTACCCGGAGCTCGCCCTCGGTGCGGTGCAGTCCCAGGCGCCGCAGCCCCACGGCCAGGTCGTTGACACACAGGCCGCCGTCGCGGTTGACGTCGAGCGTCTGGAAGAGGCTCCACAGGCGCAGCCGGTGGTCGGGGCCCCCGCAGACGGCGCCGCCGCACGGGTCCCCCACGGACGCGGGCGACGAGGTGGGCGACGACGACGACGACGACGACGAGGAGGCGGTGGCGGCGGCGTCCGGCGGCGGGGAGGCCACGCAGCGGCACAACACACTGCTCACCATCGGGCGCGAGGCAGGGGCGCCGGGCGCCGGGCGGGGAGGACGCGGAAGACACGCCGGGCGTCTCCACACGGCGAGCGCGGGCTCTGAGGAGCCGGCCGGCGGGCGGGAGGGGGCCGCTTCCGGGAACCCCGCCCCGCCGCGAGACTCCTCCCTCGGACACGCCCCCGGCACTGCCGCCGGCCAATCACGGGCGAGAAGGGCCGCCCCGGCTGGGCGGTGACTTCCCGGGCGCCCAGAGCGGCCCGGCTCAATGGGGAGGGCGGGGCGACTGGAGCCTAGTCTGGGACCGATTCAAACTGAGGGAGGCGACGATTGGCTGAGCCGGGCCCGGAGAGAAGGAAAGCACGCCACGATTGGTAGAAGTGACGTGATTGGCAGGCGGAGACCCCGCGTCCAGTTCCCATTGAGAAACGCCACTTAGTAGGCGGCGGCGGCGGCGGCGGCGGCGTCACGACGAGGGCGGGGGGAGCGGTCGTGTACGGAATGACCGTAATTCAGATGGGAAAGTGGGTTTGGGAGAAGACGCACTCGGGAGCTGCGGTTTCGAAGCAGAGTTCTCGCCTGCGGACAGAGTTTAAAATTGGCCAGAGGTTCCAGGCCGAAAGCAGGAGGGAACCTCAGAAGATCAGGTGTGGGTAATCTCACTCCCTTAACTGCCAAAAAAAAAAAAGAGAAAAAGCTGAATTTAACGGCGTGGTAGTCCCAACGCTGATGATTGAATGACAGAACGGTTTTCCAATTGAAGTGAGCCCAGCGAGGTAGGCGGTGCGTTCTGTAAGCGCAGACATATCTTTCGGCCAATGAACAGGCCAGCATTTGTAGGAAGGCGTGTTCCTTGGGTGAGCGACAGTCCGGAAGAGCCAATGAGCGACATGACGCTTCAGCAGCGCCCAATCGGGAGGGCCGGCTCCCCAGGAGAAGCTCGGGAAGGCGGGAAGTGGGGCAGTGGGCGGAACTACGCACTCCCCGGCGGAAGAGGCAGATTCAGGAAGCCATTACGCAGCTGGCTGGCAGCGGCTGGGCCGGTCGGGACTGGGCCCTAAGCACTTTGCGTAGCGAGAGGGGTTACCTAAGGCCTGGTGCTTGACTTTGGGCAAGCCCGGCCCATCCCCTGGAGGGGCTGGGTGAGGGGCGAGGCAGAGGAAGAAGAGAAGGGGTACTGAGGCTGTAGAGGGGAATTAAAGTTTCTTTTTTTTTTTAAAAAAAAAAAGAGGGTTGGGGAGAGGCCATGGCCGTCCCAGCCAAGAAAAGGAAGATGAACTTCTCAGAGCGAGAGGTGGAGATCATCGTGGAGGAGCTGGAACTGAAAAAGCACCTGCTGGTGAACCACTTCAACGCTGGGGTCCCCCTGGCTGCTAAGAGCGCAGCCTGGCACAGCATCCTGCGGAGGGTCAACGCCGTGGCCACGTGCCGCAGGGAGCTGCCCGAGGTCAAGAAGAAGTGGTCTGACCTCAAGACTGAGGTCCGGCGCAAGGTGGCCCAGGTCCGGGCAGCCGTGGAGGGGGGCGAGGCCCCAGGGCCTAATGAGGAGGATGGAGCTGGTGGTCCTGGGAGTGGTGGCGGCAGTGGCAGCGGGGGTCCCGCCGTGGCCCCAGTGCTACTCACCCCCATGCAGCAGCGCATCTGCAATCTGCTGGGCGAGGCCACCATCATCAGCCTGCCTAGTACCACGGAGATCCACCCCGTGGCCCTGGGACCCACGGCCACTGCTGCCGCAGCCACGGTCACCCTGACACAGAGTGAGTGACCTCTCCTGTCCAGGTCTGAGCGCAGAATGGGAAGGGCCAGCGGGCACGGGCCAATTGGGGAAGGTTGGCTGCAAGGGGTAAATGTTCCATGGGGGTCTTGGAAGACCCAGAGGCCTGCTCAGAACTCCCCTGTCCCTCAACCCCCCCGATAGACACGAGTCTCCTGTCTGGGCCGCCCTCGCTCACTGCTACTTCCGGATGGTGATTTGCCACCTCCGTGATTGAACTGTGTGGTCCTTTGACGATCCACCATGGGGATCCCAACCCCTGCCCCAGGGTTGATGGTTCCTAGGGCCAGGCATCTGGTCAAAACATAGTTCTCTGGGCCAGAGTGGTTGTACAGTGGGTGGGGCATTTGCCTTGCACGTGGCTAACCCGGATTCAACCCCCCAGCATCCGGTATGGCCCCCTGAGCACTGCCAGGAATGATTCTTGCGTGCAGAGCCAGGAATAATCGCTGAGCATCTCCAGGTGTGACCCAAAAGCAAACAAACAAACAAACAAACAAACAAAGTCAGTTCTCAGCTGACCAGGTGAATGGAACAGCCACACCTTCTCAGGGCAAAGTCTGGCCTCCCAGGACAGTGAGGTCCGGTGCAAAGGTGGCCTAGAGTCACTGGTGTTCGTCACAGTTGGTTTGTCCACACGTTAGCAGTGACGCTGTGGCCAAGCCAGTGCTTGACCCATGTCCTAATGCCGGCCAGTTATACGCTCTGAGACACAGGCTGGACCCAGCGAGGAATAACTAATAATTGCCGTGTCAGAGAAATCCAAGGCAGAAGGGGAGGGGGCGAGAGTGACCTGTGCCACCTGCCTGCAAGGAGGCCATCATACCTGGCACCCCTTCAAAGGTTCTCAGCGATGAGTGACATCAGAGCCACTTGGATTGGACTCTGTGCCAGTGTGCCAATGTGCCTTGGCGGCAGTGGTCTGGGGGGAGCTCCCGCTGTGAGGAGTCCTGCAGCGGGGCGTGTCTCTCCAAGGAGAAGGAGGCCAAGTCGGTCTTCATCAGAGGCTTGAGGATCAGTCAGGACCGTTAGGTATCGCTGGGAAGGACGGAAGTGCTCAAGGTGGTAGAGAGATGCGTATTAGCTTAGCTGCTGCCCCGTTGAGGAGGGAGGGTGGCTGTGGCTGCAGAGAGTTGGCTGAGAGTGTCCCTGGGTGCTGGCACTGCCACCACAGGTGCACACGTGTCGGGGGGGACCTGACTTTGCTCCCTGGCCCTGCTGAGAAACTGGTGTGACCTTAGGCAAGTCTTTCTATGGTTCCTGGGTAGCTTCCAAGTCTGAACCTGAGAACGGCAGGACCTCCCTCTGGGTGTTCTCCTGTGGGTACATGGAACTGCTGAGCGCGCCCAGCCTGGCCAGAGTCGAGACTCGAAGCGTTTGCGCCAGCCTGACCTTGGGCGCGCTGGCTCGGGCTGACAGACCTCCCTGCACCCCCGCTGCCGGCTGTGCTCTCTCCAAAGTGACCCGTTACTGCCTTTGCTCTCTCCTCCCCCACAGTCCCCGCCGAGACCACCTACCACACGCTGGAGGAGGGGGTGGTGGAGTACTGCACCGCCGAGGCACCCCCAGCCCTGCCGGCCGAGGCCCCTGTGGAGATGATGGCCCCGCACCCTGCTGACGCCTCGGTCAAGCCTCAGGCCCTCAAGAGCCGCATCGCCCTCAACTCGGCCAAGCTGATCCAGGAGCAGCGCGTCACTAACCTGCATGTGAAGGAGATCGCACAGCACCTGGAGCAGCAGAACGACCTGCTGCAGATGATCCGCCGCTCCCAGGAGGTGCAGGCCTGCGCCCAGGAGCGCCAGGCCCAGGCCATGGAGGGCACCCAGGCCGCCCTGAGTGTCCTCATCCAGGTCCTTCGACCCATGATGAAGGATTTCCGCCGCTACCTGCAGAGCCACACGCCCGCCCCCGCCCCAGCCGCTGAGCCCACACAGGTGGCCCAGAACGGGCAGCCCGACAGCCTCATCCAGTGAGGGCCGGGCCCAGACAGCCTGCTCCCGCGACCCCGTCACTCCAGCGTGGGCTTGTAAGTGGCTCTGTGCTTGGCGGCGGGCATTTGAGGGGCAGGGGAGGGTTCTGTTTCTGAGGAATGAGCCTGGGAAGAGGTCCTTGGGGGGCACTTCCCAAATATCCATGTACCCCCGCCACCTTCCTGGGGTAAACATGCAGAGAACCCCAAGAATCTCTGGTGGCCGCAACACCTGTGGTCTGGAACCGGAGCTTGTGAATTATTCAAGGCTGACTGAGGGTCAGTAAGGGTCTCACCTGCAGCCCTCTCTGTGTAGGGGTGGGACAGGACACAGCCCACCTCCCCAGATGCCATCCCTTTGAGTCAGAATGTCAGTGGTCAGGGGCTGGAGCAATAGCACAGCGGGTAGGGCGTTGTCTTGCATGCGGCCGACCCAGGTTCGATTTCCAGCATCCCATAGGGTCCCCTGAGCAGTGCCAGAAGTAACCTCCTGAGTGCAGAGCCAGATATAACCCCTGTGCATTGCCAGGTGTGACCCAAAAAGAAAAAAAAAAAAGTAAATCCAGAATGTCAGTGCTATCACTCCAGCCCGAGTGTAGTAGTTTAAGGCGACCTGCTGGCTTGTCCCAGAAGGTGGGCCCAGAGCCCGTTGTATTTACTGTCTGTGAACCCCTTCCAGTACTTCCAGAGGCTTCTCTGACTTGGCACACAGAATGGGAGTGCCCAGCCTCAGGGCCCAGCCCCCCTGCACCCTGGACCCAGCCCCATGGGCTCCTGAGAGCGGCCTTCCTCTGACTGGTGGGCCTCCTGCGTCTGGTTGGTCGTGCGTGACTCGGTGGCTTCGGTCTCTGTGCCAACGGTGTGGCTGCCTAGCGACCCCTCCTCCATTTTGAAGGGAACGGTCCCCATGGCCTTTGTGTGTCTCTCTTGCAGAACCGCTGGCGGTTCCCGAGCCCCCACGTGCGTCCTCCCGGATGGTTTCTCAAGGTGCCCCACGTCCCGCTCCCCAGCGCAGGACTGCAGGGCTCGGCTCCCACGCTCTGGACCTCAGTGACACAGAGGGGTTGTGCTTCTGGACACTCACCTCCACTCTGGCTGGTGGGGGACAGTGGCCCTGGAGACAGTTGGAACAGGACCCCTGTGCTGCCAGCCTTCCCCCGTGGGACATGTGTGTGTGTGGGGGGGGGCTGGTGCAGAGACTGAGGATCAGCCGGAAGGAGTCGCCGCGGGTGGAAGGGCAGCGCTGGTCGCCGGCGCCCTCCCACCCAAGAGCCCGAGGGCCCAGCCAGGCGAGAACGTGCAAGGACTTTTGCCTTGAACTGTTTTTTC